TAAATGAAGTCCTTAGCTCTGGATATTGAAATGAGCAGTGTATTTTGGTTTATTTTGAGAGGACTAAGTGACAGAGTGAAATCTTCTTTTACTTTTAATACATTTGTGACGAACATTTACCCAAATAAGTATTGATTAGTTGCTTTGATTATTATCACTACTAACGTCACCATTGCCAATTATTGGAATCGCCGAGTGCAACGTACACCTGACAAAACCATAATAATAAATGGAGTTCTCAAAAAGGAGGAATAGAAGACAAAATCTTAAATTTGTGTTATAAACTTTCGTATCCAAGCATATGCTAATTTATTTTTAATATAAATCACCAAAATCAGATTTAAAATTTGCGTATATTAAGGGTATTGCCCACAGCTTTGAAATAGTCTTTTATGCACATGGTAGGATACAAATATTAGGTTGCTGAGTGACTTTCAATTGCGATTGGACTAGTATGAAAAAGTTAAGCTAGAATTAGATCTTAGACCTACTTCACAGTCTTCTTCTATTTCAGTCGGCCAGAAAGAGCTAAGCAGAAAGAAATATCAAAAAAAAAAAAATGCCACCTCAAATCATTGAGAAAAGGTGATTTAGGACTTTCTGAGTGTTGGCCTTGAAAGTCACCTGGTTGCAGTGTCTTATGAAAATAATAGTAGGTAAAGGCAGAAAATCTACTATTAAAGTAGGAAGTGGTTTCGAGTATACAATAATCTCATCAATAACAAGTTAAGACGTTATACAATTGTTTAGTTCATACATCAAATACAATCATCAATTTTTTCTTTCTGTAACTTTAAAAATCAGGCGTTTTTCTCGCCTGCATTCGTGAGTTGAAGGATTTTTCTGTGCTGCAACAATAATTTATTGGACATAATCTCGTTCTTTCAATAACGTATAGTATTTGGATTACCACCGATTACCATTAACTATATACAACAGAAGAAAATGCTTAATATTTTAGCTGTAAATTATACGGTTCAATTTTATTTATTTTATCGCATGCGTCGAACAGAAGATTCAGTCCAGATCACAACAAAATGTCTAGATCACACGTCTAAGAGGTGGAATTTCCTTTCTATGTAGTACAATATTCATTTGCTGTCAGAACAGCATCCCGCCGAGGATGTTGCGGTTTTCTGAAGGTCAGTGTTAATGCGCATATCTCCGGAAGGGGTCACTTGTTTTCATGAAGACAGGAAATTTGCAGACTCGTCGAAACTTCTGTTTGCGATAAAAGCTCTTTAAAAAATAATATTATGGAAGTGAGTGTTCAAAAAGTTAAATAAAACAAATTAATACAATGTAACTTTCACTAACTAAAACTAGCGGGAAATCTGCGACTTAACGAAACTTTTCTACCTCTTAGTATTATTACTCAACAATTACTTATATTTGAGAAAAGGTGTTGTCAAGTATCAATTTTGTAATAATAGTAATATTGTACTATCAATACAGTAATATGTCAAAGTATCGTTATTAACACCCGACAACACCTTTTCTCAAATTATTAGAAGGTATCAACCTTAACAGCGATAGTTGGATCACTCAGTCAAATGCTTTCAATACATCGCGAACAACTCACCCAATGAAATAATGAATAAATGACACATGAGCATAACACATAATTTTATATTATTAACGTTTAGTGTTTATATTATAATACCATTCAGTATAAGCAAGCGATAAAAAATCTGAGGCTCATTATTTTTTCTTTAAAGCAAAAATCAAGAAATTGGGTTAAGGCGAAATATCACTTAACTATTTATAAATACACTTTCTTCTAATGGAGAAAAAAATGCCAAGAAAAAATGCTCAGCCATCTTCCAGAAAATGTTGCAAATGTCGTAGAGGTTTCATGTAAAGTTCCCAATAAATTAAAATATCTTAATCATCTCCGGAGTGGCACAATTTTATTCTACTCCTAGTATATTTACGAAGTTTCAACTCAAACGCTTCCAATCAGAGTTATGCGTGACGAATCTATCCATCAATATATACAAACCAATTTTATGGTACAAAATTCCATGTAAATTCTCTCTACCAGTACAAATATTAACTATCTCTGGCAAAGAACTAACAGACGTTAATCCTGACGTTGTACAGAGTTAAAGCTGAAAATAACCTTAAACACGGATTTTACAACCGATATTCGAAATCATAGGTGATTCAAACACTTTTGTAAGCTTTGCAGATCTCGTTATAGGAGCATTGAGGAAATGTTTTAATGTGCAACTTCCGTGATAAACGAAACTCTGAGAAAAGTGAGGTTAACATCTGGACGAATTTTGAAAATATTCCATTAGCTTTTAACTATTTTTTCAATAAATATTGAGATTCACATACCATTTATTTAGAATTTTTGAATTAATTGTGACTGTTCAAATGAGTATTTGTGCATTATTAGCAAGCGCACAAAAGGAGTGTTTAAATCTTGTTTTCGGTATTACCAAAAATATGTTTAAGAGATTGCTGATTGATAAAACGCTATGTTTTTTCAGGTGGTTGATGATTAATATTAATGAATTTTGTGGGTTGCAATACGCTTACTATATCTAAAATAAATATTAATGTATTTTCACGTAGAGCCAGAAGAGTTCGTGACTACTGATGCTGGTCATTCTGTCGATGAATTCGTGAAGGACAGAGTGAAGCAAGTAACAGTGGGTAACAAAAGTAAGACAACTTCTGTGGACTTGTCACAGCCACGATCAACTTGCACATGCACAAAAAGTGAAGCACTGAGTAGCAATAAGAGCACATTAGTTTGGTTCTGACAAATGTGCACTTCCTTCTGTAAGATTCAAAGAGATGAAACAATCCCTCAGCATATAATATTAATTATTAGCTGATTTTATTAAAATGTTTGAAAATTTGTACTTAAATTCTGGATAAAAATTGAATACGATAAATAATAAAATTTAGTTAACGCCAATCATAGTTACAACGAAATTATAGAAACCATTAGTTCTGTGTTGGAGACATTGTAAACTAATACTTTTTGATTTTTTAATTACGAAATCCAACAATAACGATCGTAAATTCATCTCGGCAAAAGCGCAGCATGGAACATCATCGATTAATATCGCTACCTTGTTGTCAATAAAAATTTCTTGAAAGACAAGTGCCAGCATCACAACTTACTCCAGCTTAAAGAAATTCCTGATCGTTTCATTAAAATACATTTTAATACAGCAATGAATTGGATTTGACGCCATCGACGTCATTAAATTCAAAACAAAAATTCCATTAATACGCGGATTGTGCAATTTAGGGAAAGGTTCAAACAAATTTATTTTGTGTATTTAGACCTTTTCTATAGTCTAACCAATTTCCAGATGATTATCTTATTGTAATTTTTTTGCCCCTTTTTCTACTTCTGCACTGATCTGTACTTGTCAATTATAAATTTTTTTCAGCAAATTCTATCACTATCTTGAACTCTTTCGATTTCCTTATGTCATCACCACAACTCTTGTCACTCTTAATTTGTTTCTTTTTCCTTTGTGCTTTTCCAAACTGTGCATGTTAGGTCTTGTTAGTTTTTACTTAGCTGTACTTTTCATATTATATGCATTCCTATGAATGTAACATTAATATCACTGTATAAGTGCTATAAAACTCTGCCACCGAGCGAAAGCTCATTAGCAGAAAATAAATATTATTATTATTAAAATATTTGAAGAACTACAGTATGTAGTTATTTGATGCAACCATGACTCTGTAATGCACGAAAAACGTATTACTTGTGCTGTTTCAATTTGTAGACGACAGAATAAAGAATTAAATTGTTTACATCAGATCATTGCCTCTTGAACTTCTGTGAACACTGCATGCCTGCGTGTAGAATAGAAAGCAACTTCGATGTGGTAGTAAATCATAATGTCGAGAAATGAATATGTTGATAAGAGATGTAGGTATTATTAAACCAATTATTGAACTAAGAAAGTACAGAATTATTGATTTGAAACTTCACTGTCCGGGATGTGTCGCGTCTCGAGCTAACGTCACGACCATCATGTGACACCCATTGAGGCGCGGCTCATCCCGGACAGCCACTTATCAAATGACTCCGGCCGCCAAAGCCTACGCATTCAGTATTATTATTTTAATGTACAAAGTTCTTACAACGTTAATCGTTCCTTTCGTACTTCACAGTGAGTCAGTATTTCCTCCTCTACCTCCATGCACGCATTGCTGCAAGGATGTAGACGGGCGTGAACTGAGGTGAACAGAGACGCGCGCTGTCCATAGCATTGCGTGCCAAAGCGTAAGCAAGGCCTCCTTCCTTCGCAGCGCAGGTGTGCTTCGACCGCCTGGGCTGTTTCCCCACCGACGACCCCTGGTGGTCCCTGCTGCGCCCGCTGCCCGCCCCCGACCACCCGAGCAAAGTGGGCACCGCCTTCTACCTCTTCACCAGGTGAGAGGCGCAGCGAGCACACCTTCTCTTTACTCTCACTGACACATTCACGATCTCTCACGCACTCCCGTCTTAGGACTGAAACACACGAGTTTACATTACGACCGGAATATCTAGCAAAGGAATATTAGCGTCATCGGAAATATTTATTGCCGTAGTGTAACCACTGGCAACATTTCTTGTGAAATAACATTGTTCACCATTTTCTTGCTAATGAAAATCGGGCATTAAACGTATAAAACAGTGTCCCTTCAAGAACACGAGCAGAAAAGAGAGGGCGACCCTGTCATCCAATCGGAAGCAAGACTAAGTCGTAACGAAGGTGGCGATTGGATGTCAGTGTACCGTTCTCCTGCTGCTCATGACCTGGTTGGTACACTGCTTTATACCACAATTTAAAGAAAGTTGCACGTCTAGGTCACGAGCTGGAAGGAGAGGGGACATTGACATCCAATCCGGAGCTCCAATGCAAATATTTAAGTCGTAACCGAAGCATCCCATTGGATGACAGTGCGTCGATCTCGTGACCTTGGAGTGCTGGTACGTTTAAATCGGAGTAGAGCGCGGGTGACCCGTTCGCAGGAGGCAGCCCGCGCGCCGCCGCATCCCGCTCGAGCCGTCCGTGGACCTCGGCGGCCTCGACGTGGACGGCGCGCGCCCCACCTTCTTAATCACGCACGGCTTCATGAGCGACACCAACGCCTCCTGGATGCTCCACATGAAGGACGCGCTGCTGCACAAGGTGAGGGCCGTACGGGGCAGAAGGCGAGCGACTGCGCGCCGCCGCTCACTACGCACACACTCTGAGGACAAACGGTGACGGAGTTTCTACACCAGTAGTTTTTCGTAGTTACTGTGATCAAAATCAGGCGAATGCCGGTACAGTAAACGGGCCAGAGATCGCGCGCCATTTTTCCTTCTTCTCGCTTGTCCTATCCTCTTCCCTTACACCTCCATGCACTACACCACCACACAGGTCGGGAGATTAGAGGGGAGCTTACAGTTTGTCTCGGCTGCGGGATACCTACCCCCGCCCCCGCTGGGTACTAGATTCTACGTTAGAATTATGATCCAACCCATAGAAAGGTTTAGAAACCTTGTCCTAAAATGTACCGCTGAAAGATTCAAATGTAATGGTAGCGACGATTTGCGCGCAGACCTAGCTTTAAACGTATAAAATTATATTTTTGCGAACTGTGTATGACCCATGTATTTGTAACGGGTGCGAGTACAAAGGCAGTTTTTTAATCAATGCGGAAATTAAACTAAACCAGCCGAATAATTAATTTTTAGCTTAATGACGATTAGGAGAATTTCACTAGAATAAGGCAGAAGAGCAGGCCTCATGGCGTGAGTCTCACCACGTCAATTAATGCGTCATTGAATTAAATTGAAGATTCGGAAGCTTGATTAGATATACATTAAGTACTCAAGATATTAATTTGTAATTCGAAACATTTTGTATTAGTTCCGACTCCTCCTTACACAAATATTTAGTTAATTCCTACACGAATCTTTCCACCTCCTTTATGACTTCAATGAGGCAACTGCCTTTAACACCAACGGCGTTTCAATATCAATATTCAGAGAATTCTGAACAGGTATTGCTCTCTGGAATTCTTACTTAACCCCTTACCCGATTCAAGCAGCCCATGCCCGGAAACAGACAATACCCTTTGGCCATCATCCTCTTTGAGACTTTCTGCCTTCCACTGATGCATTGAAAAGAGGACAAGCAACACAGTTGTGAAAGAGAGGGACCACGTTTCAATGTTTGAACAGATTTATTTAGTCAAATAACAATAAAAACTGTATGTGACGTATCGGGGAGAAGTATCACATCGTTGAGTTCCTCCTTCGATATCTTTGAGACAACTAAATTAATTGTTCTTAGTAGTGAGGTGTATTGCCTCGTTCGTATAATGCATTTGAGGTGGTGATGTTGAATTATGAACTGAGCACTCATGTGCGTTGCAGGTGGACGCCAACGTGATCTTAACGGACTGGGGCCCCGGAGCGTCTGGGGCGCTCAAGTACATGACGGCCGCTGCCAACACACGCGTAGTCGCTGCGGAGGCTGCAAGGTAAGGAAGCACGTGGCAGACCTGGAGCCAGAAAAAAGCCCCTCCGGGAATTTCCCTTCTTGCAAGACCAGGCCTGTTCTGGAAACAGGGCGCGCCAGGGCCAAGAGTGGATCGGGCCCGGGCGGCGAAGGCGCGGGGGTGTAAAGACACACGACTCGCTGGCGGGGCCTCTTCGACGGGCACACGGTAGCAGGCGGGCATACATGCCAAAGACCGGACGGGGGGAAAAGGCCCATGTGCGTCTTAGTAACTCGCATACAAAGAGCTAGGACAACCTTGTGCAATACTCCCATTCGAAGTTCACATTAAAATGCTTCAAATGTAGATCTTTTCGGGTATAAGCCGCCACAAGGTATATAACTGTAGAACAAATGATCGCGTCGATGAACCAAGCGGCTACCGGGTGGGTCTCATCACCGTTCTGCCAACGTTGCCGCGTATGGTCCTCGGCACCAACCACCCGTGCTGACAACTCCGTCAAGGTGCAAACCCCACTTGTTCGAAATTCAAAATTAACAAGCCTATAATTTTGTACTAATTATGTTGACGGAGGTCGTGCTGACTGCTGTTCATCGGTGACAAAGGCTGGAATTTGCACGCGTGCTTCATGAGACAGATGGTCGTTGGCGCATACGGAGTAAAGCGTCTGAAGGCAAACACCCTACAGAAATCGCCGAACGGGCCCAGGCTAGAGGAGGGTGCGTGGTGGTGTGCGGGGTATTTTCGTGGCATTCCCTGGGCGACCTCTTCAATCTGGAAGGCGCAATGTATTAACAGAGATATGCAACCATCCTTGGGGACCATGTCCAGGTTTTTCTTCAGTACGACGGCGTTTACCAGCACAACAATGCAACGTGACATACAGCACTCAGTGTACGTGAGTGGTTGGAAGATCATCACGACGAGTTTACAATACTTCCCTAGCTACCAAATTCCTCCGATTCAAACCCAATCGAGAATCTGTGGGACCATCTTGATCGGTCTATCCGTGCCATGGATGCGCAACCGAGGAACTTAGCGTAGCTGGCCATTGAACTGGAGTTGGAATGGCCCATTTGGCGAATTTCTTCGGTGCCATACAGAACCTAACTGATGGGGTTATTCGGGATTTTGACAGGTGGTCACATTAAGTTGACTGCATTGTGTACATTGATCATTAGTTTGCGATGCCGTGAAGTTATGTCGCGTTTACCTTCCATACTTTGATTAACTATTGATCAATATAAAATATAAATCAGCTTGGTGTCCGTTCGTCCGTTCAATTTTCATTGAATTTATATTTAATCTTAAATAAGTCTGAAATGCCCCCTTATGGATGAAAGCAGAGTGTAGGTTAGCATTTAGAATGCATTCGCAACTAAGATATTTTTGTTCTTTGTCGCCCACATGTATTTCTGTTACATTTGAGAGAATTCTCTTCCGTGGTACTAATTTGTTTGGAGTCACATGCGGATGTAAATAAATTCTACATTATACATTAGATTGTTGTCCAGTTGAGAAGTTCCATTGAGTCATTGTAACTCGTGCAAACTCAACGTCCTCATCCCAAACTGAAATAATAGAGAAATAAAATATGGTTTCGATTTCTTCTTGTTACCTAAAGATTTCAATATCTTCAATCGCTGTAATTTGTTCAGTACGTATTAGATGAAAATTAACTTGACATACCAATAAGACCCACCCTATCCTCCCGTGAGTTTGGAAATAGGTTGAAGGGATTATGTAGTTCACTCCGAGCCGTGAACATGAGTTCAAAAAGCCACGCTCGGCAGGCGCGACAATTTTCACACCACATCGTCCTCATGGACACTTCCGCAAGTTATATAACTCGCACATATCCTGGCAGTTACGAGCTATTGATACTGCTTAACAGTGGCAATCAACGTCCGTTAGGAATTTTAGACTTCCTAAAAGATAGAGTGGAAACGACACACGCTATTACTTTTTTTATTAATTTTGGTTTTGATGACTTCATTTACTTAACAGTTCTGTAAGATAACAATAGAGGAAAACATTTTATTCGTCAAGATATGCAAAGAGGAGCGCATAGCTGATACAACCATACGCTGCATTGTCACATTAATAAAACGCCCTTCCGCTTTCACTCACTTATATCGTGGCAAGGTCATAACTTATTCTATCTACTTATTTTAAAATTAAGATGTAAAGAAAATAAATAGGCAAAAACAATATCAGAATGCATCAGTATTTCCATTCAACAATACTTAAAGGTTAGCTTAATATACTAAATAAAAGTAACCTAAAGAGGAATACATTCTTATACAAAATGTATTTTTTTCACGCAGTGACCGCAATGTCTTATTTGAAATATCGTATCCTAGAAAATGAAAGCCAGGTCACAGAGAATAAAACCCAACTCCTCAATTCTTTATTTCTGAAATGTAGTACATTTTTGTATTCCGCAGAAGAGTAAACATCAAAAACTAATGATCTGATTTTTTACAATACATATTTTTTCGTTTGTTTGATGCTACTAATATTTTAACAATGTAACATGTATTCAACGAATACTTCAGCCATTTATTGAATCAATAAAATTAAGGAGTCAACATTCATCAAACAAGTTGCGGGTCATTCGAAAAAAAATACTATTTTCAAATTTCGTATTTTTAATGAAAATAGAGCCTTACTTCAAAGTGCACTATGCTCTAAATGTTCATAAAATGTAGACAAAAAATGGAACCGTTTTTGGAAATAGTTTCTTAACATATTAATTGGATTATTGGTGAGGTAGATACCTTTTTATTATGATAAATAAATAAAGATATTGTCAGGTATCAATATTTTAAATCAGCTTATGATCATTTCGATCGCGTAGCGATCATCCTCAGATCTTGCAGCTTCTGGGCCGAAAACAAGGTTCTGCCCAGGATCGAAATGATCATAAACTGATTTAAAATATTGATACCTGACAATATCTTCTTATCATATCACATCTTCTTATCATCTTAACATATTCTTGTAAAATGGCCATATTCCGGTTCATATTTAGAAGAGAACTTCAATTCTGAAAAATCTGTACAAACACAATATTTAAATGGAGATCCGGTGGCTGAGCTCGCTAAGGCAGTAGTGCCATAGAGATCTCGGACCGAAGGATCGCGGGTTCGAGTCCCGTCTCGGGCATGGTTGTGTTGTGTTCGTCCTTTCACCCCCTATCATCATTATCGTGACATCCCACAGTTACCATACCGTTACAAGCAATAGTGGTCGCTAATGACCTAGTAGTTGATGCGACCTTAAATAACAAAAAATATATATTGTCAATTTAGAAAATCCTATTCCAAAAATGAAAAATATAAAAATCTTATGAAAGTGAGCAAAGTTCCGAAAATACCTAACTTTTTGAAATATTCAGATTTCAGATCTTATACCATTAGACAAAATTAGAAGAGAGAGATTACAGAGATTTTTTTAAAATTAAGATATTCTAAAAAATTGTCACGATTTGAATCAATTTAACCTTGTACCATACTTTTCATATTTCCAACAATTTGTACATGATATTACTTGATACAGTTATGAAGAAAATATTTTAGAAAAAAATCTAGCTTCAGTAATGTCGCTGAAACGGTCGAAAAAATAGAAAATTTGAGGTTTTAATGATAATCGGATCTGTACTGTGAGTATGAGACATTTGATACCATTTTTCAGAAAGTTTTAAAAATTGAGGTTTCCCGTAATAAAACATTCGTTTGAATTTCGCAGTCTCCAATTGGGCCAGATCGGTTGGTGAATGCTTCTTTTGGGGAACATGATGCGTACTGCGTTGGTGCTAGTACAGCTCTCCGACGCATTGATGGGCGGACAGACACACACGATAAAGCGGGCGGGCAGAAGCGGATAGACAGAGCAGACAGACAGACGGATATACAGTCACGGACAAGAAGCGACAAGCACGGAGAGACAGACGCGAACAAACACACGGAGAGACACGGCCAGAGCGTTGCGAACAAATGGACGGACGGAGAGACAGAGAGATAATACATCTACCTATCCGTCAGGGCAACGTTTTTTATAGTCCATGTATACTCGATGTAAACTAGAAATCTGTATGCTCCATTTTTTAAGAACATCTCTGCTTATAAGCAAGAAATTTATTTAAATGGAATGAATTGTAGACAATTGAATTTGTACGTACCATTGAATTGTATAAACGAATAAGTACACACATTTTGTAATTAAAATGGCTCTCTTCACAGGCTTATTCGGCAGATGGTGAAAGACTGCAAAGTGAAACCGGAAAACATCCACCTGATAGGTCATAGTCTGGGGGCACAGATCTCAGGATATATTGGCAAAGCTGTCAAGAATATTGGAAAAATAACAGGTAAGATAAGGACTCAATCCCAGGACTTACGCTTTAGCAAAGCGAAGGACTAAAATTAATACTATTTTCATTGGTATGAAGTCAGCAACAATGAAATAAAATATCTCAATGACCAAATAGTTTTTTTAACTCTCTCAAAATCATTAAGGTGCTAAAAAACTAGAAAGCTGACAATCTGGAAAGAAACCTTTTTGTTATTGTGGATTCTATTCTACAATATTCTGTCAGCTCATTCATCACCTTTCAAAATATAAATTAAAAATTAGTTAGATTACTCATATTCAACACAATATGACACAGAAAGCTTACGAAGAGAAATGTTTTCGGTATCATAGAAAAGGTAATGGCATCCTAACAAAAAACCACAAGTGTAAGTTAATGAGATACAACACAATATAATAACTAACTACATAAAAAACTATGTAATCGTAGAAGATACAATGTGAGGCGCGTGTGTTGGCAGCGCTGGACCCCGCGCAGCCAGCGTTTGAGGGCTACAACCCGAAGGTGCGGTTGCACGCCAGCGACGCCCTCTTCGTCGAAGTGGTGCACACCGACGCCAAGCCCACCATCCCGCTCTTCGGACTGGGCATGATCGCCCCACACGGTACGTGCTGCTATCCACATTCATACTAAAACGCTGCATTTTAATTTGATTAGCCTTTGTTCAGTGTTCTAAAAATAAACTGTGGAAACCCATGTGGGTAGCTGTCTATCCACGTTTTAAAAATGTTTTAATTTAAGTGTTGGCAGCATCATATTATTTTATGAAAAGAAGTGTAGATGTTGCGCCCAAAGCAGACGTATCTTCCAGGTACCGTTTTAATTTTACTAATTTTATGAATTTAAAATTCTTCATGTGTTGCAGGAGACGTGGACTACTATATAAATGGTGGCGCCAGTCAACCTGGTTGTCTAATACCTAAAAGTCTACCCTCTCTCACGTCTTTAACAGATTTCTTAAATCTTCCGTTGTCAGGTGAGTACATTTAACTAACGAATTATTTTAAACGCAATTACATAAGGTAGATGGGGAATAAAAAGAGGCCAATCTTGATCTCTGTTCATTTTATTCTCTTCCTGTTGCTATCCATTTTAGTATGAATGAGCGCAAGTACCGTTTGTTAGCTATCGCGTCTTCATCTTACCTGGCCCTGGAAATGATTATTCTTCATCGTTCATTAGCTGCAACCCGAAGAGGTCGTACGTACTAACTCTGGATCGGTGTCCTAGTGATTGGCAACCTCGTGTCGTGCCCGCACGGACGCTCCACGGAGGTGTTCATCGAGGCGATTCGCCTGAGCAACTGCACCTTCTGGGGCCACCCGGGCACCGTCGTGGACACCGCCTTGAGGTACGTAAGCGCGCACTCGCTCTCTTACCAGGCCTCCTTCTCCCACGGAGGGGGGGGGGGAGGGATGATGGCCTCGTAAAGGGCATGGTTTCTAGTGGAGAGTTGCAGACGACCACACGGGCCGCGAGTTTTACGGCGGCACTCATGTCGTTAGCTAGGAGCTTAGCGTCGCCTACACACGGTGCTAAGCTCCGAGTTGCCGAGTTCGCCCGCAACCCTCCAGTTGGGCCCCCGGCGCGAAGGGCTTCTTCGGATCCCACATACGAGAGTCCGACCGGGAACACGAAGCCCGAGAGTCCAGGCTCATTGATCTATATTCCAGGCGTCGCGACAGGAGGCTGGTTGCCTGCTTCGACAATTAAAGAGTTTGCGTTCCGTCGCAGCGTCGTGTCGAACGGGGCGCTGCTGCGCTACCTGACGCCCTCCAAGGAGGAGTGCTCGGCCAAGACGTGCTCGCCGCTGCAGCTGCGCAACGAGCGGCTGCCCGCGCGCGGGTCCTTCGTCGTGGCCACCACCGGCGCGCGCCCCTTCTGCAGTGAGTAGCGCCTGCGCACACCCTCCTCCACCCCCTCCCCCGCCTCCGCTAACCGTCGAGTTCCCAGAGTTCAACGAAAATGGGCCCCATGCCATTCCTTTCATCAGCCCTTAATCGGATGGATCGGTTTAGGCGTTGGCGTTGATCACGGACAGACAGACGGACGGAGAAACGAACAGACGAACACACAGACAGACAAACAGACAGACATTTTGTCGTAAGTCGATTTTTCATCGGTATCAGGGATCCACAAAACATGGACTCTAGGTACATCACGAGTTAGAGGATTTTTTTCTGTATTTAGCAGCAGGATTTGTGTACTTTACCGGGGCCCGACAATTAGAGATTTTCTACGGAAAATTCGCCGTTTTCTACTGCACAATTACAAAACTTTCTCTTCTAACGAAGTACCTTCGTAACAAATATAAATATACCCAAAATATTTGGAGAGACCGGATATTTGGATAACAACATAGTATCAGATATTTGTTACTGTCTCCAAGGTTTCAGTACATTCACAAGACGAAAAATTTTCTGTTAGAAGTGAAAAGTCTTCAAGACTAACGTATTTATATTAAAAAAAATTATTTTCATTCGCATTTTTACGGAAAAGCAGTATTCATTTTCATAAAAACTAAATATTTCAACTTTGATTCACTGACAAAATGATCCTGGGTCGATGGATTTCAAAATTTATTTTGATTGAGAAATTATAGTTCCTACAAAGTAAGACTTACCGAGAGCAGTGATTTTAGTAGTTCTATATTTACATAAATATTTATTTTAAATTTTTTATAAGAAAAATTCAATGAAAACAATAGATTATTAAAATAACAAACAAGTTAAGTATGAGGTTTCATCCGACACCTCCCCTGCTGACCCAATTCTCAATCCAATAAAGAAGAAAAAGTTCGCTTAATGAGCGCGTTGCAGCTGGTTGTGGGGGCGACGCGTGTTGCAGTCTCGGAGCCCGAGGTGGACGGGCGCATGGCGAAGGCGCTGGGCGCGGTGCGCGACGTGGGGCGCGAAGCCCTCGGCGCGCTCGCCGGCCTCCCCGGCGCCCTCGGCCGACCGCGCCCCTAAGCCCCTCCCCCCCTATTCTAGCAGTCCATCACCACTGATTTCTCAAGACAAGGAGACCTCGCAGTGCAAGAAACTTCATCGGACGTCTTCTCCCTTCATGAAGTCGCTGACCTGACTCCTGGCGGCGAGCTTCGTCCCTGAGCCCAGAATCAGCTTTTGGCGATCATCAGATTCACCATCGGCGCACAGTACCACCGGCACTCTCGGCTGAACCTTGCCCCGCCCCCACTCCTCCCATATATTTTCCTCGTGGCACTCCGCAGTTCAACAAACTTCAGCAAACACATCAAGTAGTTGAAATGATCACTCGACCCCGCGAATAGCGACGTCTCCGATGTTAAATGCCCCTCCAGCATATCAAAAAGAGCTCTTCGCGTTCTTTGTCGTAGGCATCTGATTCCTAACAATCTGCAATGCAAGAATACCGTACTGCCTCAACATACGTGAACAATAAGTTCAAGTCCTTGGCCCCCAAGTTATTGACGCAATTGCCTTTCTTGAACAAGGTACCAGCTCTCTGCGTTAGCCGGTGCGCAACTTCAGCGCGCTAGATGACATTATCATTTCAACCCTCCCACAGCCAAATTGCCTACTGACAATCTGTAGTGCAAGAATCTTAAGTTGCCTCGACAAGACTTATCAAACTATACTGAACGTACTTAAAAGAACACAAGTTACTGGATACTGATTGCAATAGCACTTCACCATGCAATGCGAACTTAAATGAGACCATGGTCTCTTTGTTCGGCTGCAGATGCACCAACCGCTGAGCCCATTATCGCCCCCACCCATTAATGAACAAATATATTCCAACATTCAAAAATGCACTTACTAATCAAAATAGCTAGTCGTAGGTTCCGGCGGCATGATCCCTTCTTCTGACACATCTCTAAGCGGACTAAGAAATGGGTTACATCTGTGGAGCTGAAATGACCCTCGACAGGAAACTGGCGTCACTTCTTTTCCACTTCTGCAGCACCCCTTTGCCCTACGATCAAGTCTCTACAGAAAATCGTCTAATAGCGTTGAGCTTAAATTGAAGAGGTGAGTTCACACTACGTCGGCTTGAAATTCATGCGAGTTTCATTCACGGGTTATTTGGACGGAGTGACAAGTCATAAAACACTGCTATTCTCAGCCTTTGATACAGCAGAGATCAATTACCTGCCCTAGTTGTATGGAGAATCTCAAGCTTTCATAAATTGAACGGTTCCTCTCATTCACTCTATGGTCTAACCACGACTACACCATGAAGTTAATTAATTGATATAAAAACTACATTTTTTGGTACTTTGTTCAATGATTGTTTAAGATGTCACACATCCAACGTGAGCCGCATCTATTCTCAACTCTTCATGATAGCATTACGAAATTAGCTGACAAGTTTTGCTACTTGGGATGCCAAAAAATTGACTAGAATTTTGAACGATGAGAAAAAGGCGCGGAGAAATATGACTAAAACGTTTTTTATGCTCTTATATCCCGAAGGGTATAATTACACGATCAATGCTTCGAATTCGAAATTTCATGAAAATCCACCCAGATGCCAATTTCCCATTGGCAAAACAGGGAGCTGCCTAAAGCGGCAAATTTTTATGGGCGGCTAAATTTTCACATGAAAAAAAAGAAATAAAATAAAATTAATATTATAAAATCAATGATAAAGCATAGTTTTGAAATAGAGTTTAATTGCATAAAAATCTGAATTCTCAAAAATATAGTATCCTCAAAATATCACAAAAGTTCCAACAATAATAAAATACATTAAAAACTTGAATTATTGTTCAAATTCGTTGTGTTTCGTTGAATTTTAAAAATATGGACATAACTTTGAAAAGGATTTGAAGAGGCAATTTACGGAGGGAGGCAAGGAGCATAAAACCGCCAATGCCTCCACGGACTGCAATTTCAACGCTGATTTCTTCCACCGCGTTCCTGCTCGTAAGCTAATAAAAGAGAGGGAAGTTCGCACTAACCACAATTACTTTGTCCACTTCGCGAATCAACACTCTGGAACCCCTGAGCATAAACACGACAGGCAAGAAAACTTGTAGATGTAAACCACAAGATAAGAAACAGGGAAAACAATCCACCGGTGACCACGAGACATAGTTTGGAACCACCTCAACTCTTCTTTAATGATCGAACTTGAATATTCAAGTGTTTACACAAAATGATCCCCTTTTTCTACGTAGTGTACTGACTTTTTTAAGATTGGTACGCTTTTAAATGGGTTTTAATGAATGAATTGTGGCTTTCAAGCCATCGAATTTTAAGCTCGACCCATCGACTTAAATTACTGGTTTCCTTTATCTTGATGATTCATGTGAATTGTTCTGTTATGCTATTTATTATTTTTTCTAGAAAACACATTAGAGCAAACATTTTTCTTCTGAGTTTTTAAAAGCTAAAAAATAAATAATACACTAATTCTTCATGCATTTTGTTTATACATATTCTTCTCCTTTCCAACATCTAATAAATATATAAAAAACGACGATGAAGTTAATACAATTTTTGTAACAAATTGCCAATAAATACATTTTCATAAAAATTGTAAACAAAAATATTGATAAATTTACCTAATGATATATTTATTATGGGCCAAAATAATAACAATTGCTCTGGTCTTCGATTCCGTTCGTCCATATTATAATTGTATTGTTTCAATTTAGAATGTTTACATTTAGATTTAACATTTTCGATAAGGAATTAAGTATAATTGTAATTATCATGTAATGTTCTCGGGACAGTAAATATATTTCCGTAATAAAAGATTTAAACAAAGATTATTCGCCTTTCCAACACGATAAAAACAGGCCTGAGATTTTCATATGCATCGAAATGTAAGCATCGAATATGCATCGAAGCTTATGCTATGACATGCATCGAAATGTAAAGCAGCTTAATCGATATTTCACGTTCACACGTACTCAGATATTCAAAATGTCTAGTTGCCGTCATTCAACACACAACCTGCTGAGATGGCGCAGGGCATCGACTGAGAGGCCTCTGATTGAGAGGTCCTAGGGTTCGATGCCCGATGGTGGCAACGTATTCGTCACTAGCTACATAACTACATGGAATGCATCCGCTATCTGGAGGAGAACTTTAGCGGCCGGCTGCTCTGATCAGCAGTTTTCGATGGTTTCTTCGACCAACACCAGGCCAATGACGGAGCAGACTCCAAAAAACAGGCCACTTGCAGAGTGCAATTTCCCCATCCTCTCTCTTATCCCATTCTTACTCCTTATTTACACTAGCACTTACATGAACTACACTCCCACACATGTCAGGAGATCAGACTCGAGCTTCTCCTTTCTGCGGTGGTGTCCCCTAATTGGATGGGGAAAATTCAGAAAACTTTAATGACACGCCGGACTTCTTGCACGCACCGTCTGCTGTTCAAGCTTTATTCCCGGTCCGCGCATGGCCTCCCACTGGCCGGCGTCTTTGACGGTCCGCCGCCCCGACGAACGTCGGAGAAGCTGTTTCGCGCCGTTGTTCCGGCGCGGTTTTTGAATTGTCGCGTACAGCCGCAACGACCTGGATGTAGCAAGTTCAGCAAGGCGACGTCTAGGCCGGCGCCGAATCTCACTATTCAGCTGGGAAACATCACAGCCACCTACCGTGACAAATTATGTACCACACGTACAGGACTATAGTAGGAGTCGACACGCCAGAGGACACACGAAACAACCTTCATATGAAGTAAATATATGATCCCACCCACACATATAAAAAAGTATAATTCTGTAATTATAATTATACAAAATACATATAATAATTTTAACTTTATTGTAGAAAATAAACTAAAACAAGTTTTCACTTCGTCAAAATCATGCGTTGTCGATTCTGAATTACGCGCTTTCCTTTGGCTTCAGCAAAAACAATTTTTGGGGATTGACTGATTGCTGTTGTTGGGCGCGTCAACTAATGTCATTGGCCCCGCAAGTGGGGCACATGTTGGGTAATGCAGGAGGTGGCGGTGAACTTCCCTCGCTGAATGGGGCATCGAACTGAATGACGGCTTGCAGGAGGTTCCCAAGCAGGTATCTCCCTCACGGGGGGGGGGCACATTACCTCATGACATGTGTGATAATGTAGGGCATGTGAGTGTGTGCAAGCGCCAGTAAGGGGTGAGAATAGGACGAAGCCGAGGAAGTTAAGATCGCGGACGGTTCATGGCCCGTCTGTCAGGGTTCTGTTCTGGTATTTGCGTGGTATTCATTGGAGTAATCGCGGAAATCTAGCAAATCTATATGAATATTAAAGGAAAATTCAATAATGAAAACAGAAGTATTTGGTTACACAAAAATTGCTGTTTTATAAAATTGAGACCGTTTGCGTGATCCTGAAGATAAGCTATTGCTCTACTCACACAAACTTATTGTAACTACAGGGGCTGCATTTCTCAACTTCTAAGATCAACTAAAAGCGTTGTGGTTTAATAAGACACAAGTGAGATTTTGCTCAGCGTGTAGGAAAAGATTGTACACGCTGAGCCCCTGCTCCTGGACTGCCCAGGTGTGCAGCTTAACGCGAGGGAAATGTCGATTCACTACGCTCATCGACATAGTGTTCCCACATTTTAGAAAATAATTCGCCGATCACTCCATTGAATGGAGCGGGAGAGAAATTGTCTTCAATAGTAACTAAAAAATGCAATGTAATACATGCATACATAACAAAGTATTTAAATTATTCCATTCCTCAATCACAGATTTTCTTTAGAGTTTTCAGTAACAGATCTGATTTATTAATATTTTGATTTTTGTTTCGAGTTTCCAATCGCAGCGTTTCGTTCGTGAATAAAACTTCGAATTGCATACAAACGTTAATTAAATGTTCTGTTGAAATTAAAGTTAAAAGTTTATAGCGACCAACTTTTTGCATAAAATCAACATTTCCCAGCACAGTTTTGCTGGTAGCCGGTTTCGAGTTAAAATTGTCGATCATGATGTTCTAAACTCGGGCGGGTGGCAAACCTAATTCCACTTTCCTTTATCGTGTCTTTTTGCGTTACGGTAATGGAAGC